TGGTTGTAGAAATATAATTATTCTTCCACAACAATCTGTACGTAAAGGATCGCTGTTCTCATCTCGACATAGTTGCATTATCATGAACTAATATGTTTCCTTCTCTCCTAAATTTAAAATAGGTTCACATCTTATCCTTCATAAGTTGCCATATATTTTTTGAACTTGGCTATATATTCACTGATATTCAATAACATCTTCTCACTCATGTCCATTCCTTGTTTTTGTTTGTTGGTAATGATATCCAAGGATATTTAACCATTGTCGTGCTGTATTTATGCTATTATCTTGTCAATAGTCATGGGACATGTTTTTTTTTTAAAAAAAATTTAGAACTTTAGTTAATACCCATTTCTGGTAATAACGATTCCTGAACAAATTCTTTGGATTGATGTATGGCTTCCGTTCAAGCGAATCCATGTATAACACCTTTTGGCTATATCTTCGTCATCAATTATTCTACTAATTTTCTGACGTTTTCCTTGATATCGACGAGAAATAGGCAATTACTATTGATGTACCAATACTTTGCCATCTCTCGAACCCAGGCAGTTTTCGACTTGCTACTACTGTTATTACTGTCTTTACTACTTCTTTTGCCGACATTCTATCGAAATTTTCCTCTAAATCTGTTTCTAAACTCAAAACCGTGTTCTCCGATGGCAAAGTAAGTTCTTCATCCAATGAAATATCTTGCACTGGTTCAACGTGCTGAACATTTCCTCCAGCCTCTTGATTAAAAAAGCTTTCTAATTTTGGAGTTCCTTTTGCAGCCATCGTCCACGAACCACTCGGCCATTTATCATAATAAGTCGATTCGGTGTTTTCCCTACTTTATAAGGACCACGTCTGCTTTTTTCTAATTTGGCATCCGGTCTCCACTCCAACCAAATATCATCCTTTGAAAGCCTGTTCCGTCTACCTCTGAATCAAACATCACCTCTCCAATCACTTGGCTAATCAGATCCGTGGTGACTTACCACATCCAGAGCATGAACTGGAATTGTATATACACATTTGCAGTCCAGAACGTTGCGGAGGTCCACCTATGGAAGGTGAACAGTGTTCAAAGTTCTTTTCGCTTAGAAAATGATTAAAACAAACAAATTTTCCGATAAACTTAATAGGTCGAGGATGCTTACACAGACAGGGCGTCCGAATAAGAATTTTTTAGTTGATTAACAATTTAAACCGTAACTTTTATTCTCTTTCTATCATTCTTACAGATTAGTTTTTCTCTAGTCTCTAATACAAGCCTTAGGGTTTTGAAGTCAAGGTGGTTTATTTTGAATTATAGATAATCCGTACAATTTGTCACAAACGAAGCTTTGCTATTGGTATATTGGTTTATCGAACTGTGACTGTCGATTTTTAACTTTTGCCGCCATGTTAGATATTGTTTGATTCTCTCGCTTTCACAGCCATATAAACAGGTGCGATCCAAGCTCTCCTAATGCAATTCCGATGAACAATATTATTTTGTTTACATCAATATAAGAACTAAGTTGGTAGAACAGTACGAGTTTACTATTTGAGGCTTAGGGTAGACAAAGGTCGCGTACAACAAAGAACTACTTCTATTTAAGCATTGTCTAAATTTAATAGCGAATAATGGGTGGAGTGAATCGAATCTATGCACTACAGAGCTTGCAGAAATTTTAAAGTGTAGACGCCTAATGTCAATTACAGCATCTGTTTGATTCAATCCCCTCATGATTTATTAATGTGATTTGAGAAGCAACAAGATAGACATCCACGCTCTTCTGAGAGTATCCATTCAAAAGTTTGCGTTCAGTTTGTCAACAATTGGGTAAAGCCCCATTATAGAGTTGCTTCCTATATCTAGATTGTTTGCAAACTGCAGTTTGTAAAAACTGGTATAATTATTATTATCCACATCTCATGAATAAGTTCTGTACACGAACTGATAATCTAAGCGAAAAACTAAATCATTCATAGCGAAAGTAATGGTAAATAAAAATATATCTTTTTATTAGCGTTTAATGGTTGTCGTGAGCTAAAGCGGCATTAAAGCATCTTGCAAGACAATTTTCCTTATTAATTGACCTGCAAAAGAAGATCGCTTTAATAATATACGTTCTTTGCATAAGGAAAGTTGACACAGAAAGCGACATTATATGTATTCCCTTTGTTCTGTTGTTATGAGAAGTGTAAATACACATACCGTTAATCATTGCAAAAGCAATGGAAGCTTTCAACTATATTCTCAAAAAGTTATTTGCGATGGCTGTATATGTTATACACAAAGTTTTCCGTTGTGGCTTTACTGTTATTATAACGGTAGCCAACATAAAAATGTAGCAGCTTCGAATGATACAATGTTATTGTGGTATATACAAACAATAGAGATTATTAAAAAGAAAGGTTTTCTGTTTTACTAATTTATCGTCATGTTTAAGAACGCTTACATGATAAAGGCGTCAACAGCTTGCTAAATTCGGTGCTGGGATTAACGCTATATGTACGGAAATCAACTCGGAGTCATTAAGACTTTTTTGGATGCGCGACGAACGTTGTTTGTTGACAAAAGTGGCGCGCATTTGTTTTGTTCGGTTAACATTTGCCTCATCCGAACACTTTATTCCATATTAAGGGTAGGCTAAGGTGGAGCAGAGCAGAGCACCATGTAAATTTCATTGGTTGGCGTACAGTCTGTCCAATGTAGTTGCCACAAATCTACTCCGCGTTTTAGCCATGCCCCATATTAATATTAATTGAGGCGATAGAGCATAATCTGGCGCAATTAAACTATAAGGCAATCGCAATTTACAACGCAGTTTTGCCATTGACAGAAAATTTGGACGAGTTGGTCTTTGATTATTTCGAATTGTGCAGATCGAAAGTTATCACGGTTTATCACGGTTTATCACGGTTTATTACGGTTTATCACGGTTTTCCTATTTGGTTGATACGTAATGTGATACAACAGTCAACAAACGCACTAGGTTTTCGATCGCAAAATTACTTTGTTAGCCGGACCTTACCGCTTATGAGCGAAAACAGATCGTTGTACGTAAGACAATGAAAGGTGGAGTTACGAATCGACGATACAGTATTTGACGGTGATGGTCTTTGTCAGATTTGGCGTAAATTTGGCATCCGAAACATGATAGAGATGGATTTCGGCTAAAGGTTTAGACCATTGCGGAACTAATAACCGAAATGCCCTCAATTGCCAGGATTGAAACAATCATTGGAATGAAGATTTGACGGCCACTTACGTAAACGTCCTAAAAGGAATGCTAAAAGAAACACATTTAGCCTTAATTGATATTCAATAGAAGCACGAATGCTCGCAACGAATGGCTAAATAAAACCGAAGATAATCGAGAGACGCATAAAGGTTCTTCCTTTCACTGTACGCTACCCCCCCTTTATCCATTCAGGTTGCGATCGCCGTCATTGTTCAATTATCCCCCGACTTGGAACCAGATTATCATCCAACATGATAAACGGTTGGTTAACAGTATAACAGTAAACATTAGCTAATGAAACGCCATAACAATATCACGGTTTCAAGTCGCCAGAAAAAAAATTCCATAAACGATTGCGTCCGCATAACTAGGGATTGTGGATTCATACGAATGGTTTATTACAGTGATTAATTATACAAGTATGTCCAACTTGATGAATGATAAACCCATTCACGAAAACAAGATTTAACGCACTCGCATCTGATGTAAGTTTTGATGTTTATTCTCCTCACAAAGAATACGTGGACGGGTCAAAAGGCTTTTGCTGTTTAACTCTAAATTGAAATTATTACCTCCTTCTATGTCTATGTATCTTGTAATCTTTTACACAAACTTTATAATGTTACAGATTAACAGTTTTTGGGCATTGCACAAGATGTGAGCGAGCGTATAATTAGTTGGCCATACATAAAGGAACATCCTTATTCAGAGTGTGAGAAAAATAATAGCTTCATGTATAGGTGTTGGACAGCCAATCCCATTCCAAAACTAGAGAAGATAAAATACACACCATATCATCTCAGGGTTAGCAAAATTTAAATTGAACAAAACAGCAAAAGACGGGAGAAATTCCGCTAGCATATCTGATATGCTATTACAAATATTTTACCGCTTTCCTGGTGAGTGTAAATTATTACTAATACTAACATACGTATATTATTACTATTATTTATTTATTTATGACAAAATAAACGCCCAATGTCATATTTTGTTAGGACAACATTGTCGTATAGCTGCAATCAAATTCTAGTAGTCAAATCCAACGCTTTCTCTGATGCTATAACAATTGGTATTTTACACCATGAATCCCATTTAAATATGTGTTCTATATATTAATTGGATAGGCACAGGGTTGACAACAAGCACCAACGAATGTTAGCCCGCTGTAGTTGTGGTTGTGCGCACAAATGGTGCCCAGCGTGGCACAACCTAATTAATTGTAATGGGGATATTACCAAGTGATTAGTAGCCATCTTTACTTTATTTATTTCGAGTTGTCCTTTCCAAAGTTGCTATCGAATATTATCGCGCGTTTTCCGCTGTCACTTGCGCAGATTGCGTAAAATCGATCGTCCAGTGACCTTTGCTCGCTAGTCGCAACACAATCATGGTCGCCTAAGCACGCCCCCCATAAACATGTTGTATTATATAATATTGTACCATATTACGTAATAGTTATAAACACTAGGGGGAGTAGCTCAATTTAGCAAGTCGTACTCACACCGCATTTATTAAGATTATTTATTAGGGAAGCCCGAAGTTATTTACTATCTTTCGGGGTTTACACTAAAATGTACCCCGTGCGTTCATCAATACTAATATGGTGAGCTTCACCAGCCGACTAACTAAAATTGTTGTATTACATTACATTTCGACATATTTAAATGTCACACGTCCAACTTTCTTTTTTTTTCCCTGTAAAGAAGTCTCAGACCCCTGATACTACCGACTGTCCCTACTGAAAAGTAGATTTTTTCCATCACAAATCCAAAAAATGCCTACAATATGAATACAGATACTACGAATTTACTTGATGCGAACATCCACAAAGTAACTTCCTCTGCTAAACTCGATCAAATCCTCAATCTCCCTGGCTATTCCGATTTTGTTCTCATACACGAGAACTTTGATTTCTACACATACTCGGCATTCAGCGAAAAACGAAAAACACGCGTAATTCTCAAGGGTATCATCAACGCTAATTCTACTTCCGAAAACTTGAGCAAACTACGTCACGAGTGGGAACTGCTCAATGGATTGAATATCCCCGGAGTATCACGTCCGGTTGCGTTCGAATCTTTTTCAACTTACAGTCTATTCCTCGTATTCCCTAATTCCAATTACATCACTCTACATGAACGATGCCAGAAGAGTCGATCGGATTCATTAGATTTACGCGAATTTCTCGAGATGGCTATTGCCACTGTATCAATCTTGTCTAATATCCACAAAGCAAAGATAATACATACAAACTTAACCCCTTATGCTAGCATTCTGGTACATCCTGAAACCCTTGATGTTTCAATTACAAACTTTTCTCATGCTTTGAGTTTAGATCGAGAAGAGAATGTGAGAAACTCCCATTCCATACTGTTAAGTAGAGATCTGGCATATCTTGCGCCCGAATGTACTGGTAGGATGGTAAGCTGATTCTTTCTAATTGGAGAATGCAGATTTTCTTTTCAAATAAGAATGCTTCTCTGCCTATTAAATAAACATTTTTTTTCCACAAAATGACAGACTCGATGCATAAATTTTTATTCACCCCTCCTCACCTATCTTATTATCTGTCTACCAGAACCGCTCGGTCGACAAAAGATGCGATTTTTACTCACTAGGCGTAATATTCTATGAAATGCTTACCCACGCCCTCCCATTCACGGCCACTGATCCACTAGAGCTTGTCCATCAACACATTGCTCAAGAACCTCAACCTCCTCATTTGCTAAACAGCTCAATCCCTATACCTCTCTCGCGTATTGTACAAAAACTCTTGATCAAAACCGCCGAAGACAGGTATCAGTCAGCTGATGGGCTCAAGGCTGATTTGGAGCTATTACTGGATAAATTAAAGAACGGAAATGAGAAACTAGAGGGACTGGATGACTTTGTTGCTGGTGAAATGGATCGCAACAGTCTGTTTATTATATCACAAAAGCTATATGGACGAAAAGCTGAAGTCAAACAATTGACGGAGGCGTTTAGGAGAGTAAACGAACAGGGGATTACCGAATTTGTTGTTGTTAGAGGGTATTCTGGTGTCGGCAAATCGTCGCTAGTCTCCGAGATGCAGAGGCCTGTTATTGAAAGTAAAGGTTACTTTGTATGGGGAAAATTTGGTAAGTTGGTCCTTACCTAATGTATTCAAGGGAAGAGGGTTTTCGTGAATTTGTCATTTTAAAACTAATTACCCTTTGTTTATTCTCATAACCCAACAACAGATCAGTACCATCGTAATGTTCCCTTCTTCTCTTTAATCCAAGTTTTTCAGGGTCTTATTAAACAGATTCTTAGCGAATCACCGGAATCTTTGTCTGTTTGGAAACACAAGATAATTGCTGCTCTTGGTGATGAGGGTAAAGTGTTCACTGATGTCATACCAGACGCCGAAAAAGTCATTGGCGAGCAACCACCCATACCCAGATTAGGTCCTGCAGAGTGCGAGGCAAGACTTAATAAAGTTTTTCAGCGGTTTGTAAAAGTATTTAGTTCGGAAAAGCGTCCACTTGTAATCTTCCTTGGTAAGTGAGAGGCACAATGTGTGTTATTTTATAATGTCCAAATTTAATAATATGAATATTTTATGGCAGATGATTTGCAATGGTGCACACCGTCTGAATTAACTTTAATAATGAATATAATCTCAAACACGGATTCACAACGGTTGATGGTTATTGGTGCCTATCGAGACAATGAGATGCCTTCCAAGTACAGTTTGTTACTATCTCAAGAGACTTCTACGCGTCGTAGTTACAATTACACAGAGATATATTTACATCCATTGGGTTTGAATTTCGTCGGGGAATTGATTCAAGAAACCTTGGGGTACAATTCGCCTGAACACAATGTAACTGAACTGAGTGAGATCGTTTATTCAAAGACTCAAGGGAATCCTTTCTTTGTGATTCAGGTTTGTAGCACTATATCTCGTTGGTTCAGGCATAATAGCGAATCAAGTCATAGACGTAACAAATCTTGTTTTTTATTACAGTTGCTGAAATCTCTTTACCAGGAAAATTTCCTTCGGTTTAGCTTCGAGACAAAACAATGGGAATGGTCAATAATCGCTATAAGAGAGAAAGAGATTGCACCAAATATCGTTGACCTCCTTGTTGGGCAAATTCAAAAGCTCTCACCGGCCACTCAGAACGTTCTCAAAATAGCTGCTTGTCTTGGTAATAAGAAATTCATATCCAATATACTTTCAGTCATACTAGAGAAATCTGTCGCGGAAGTAGCTCAAGACTTGTGGTTGGCATTACAGCAAGGGTTTGTTCTGCCAGGAACACAAAACTACAAATTTCCATTAGCTTGTAATACGTGCGAAGATAATGCGCAGAGTGAAGGGCAAAGAGATTCGTTTATTACCTCTTATCGGTAAATATGATTGCTCAACGCGCTCTTTCTTTTTGACTTTGCATCGGTCTGATAGAAAAAAAGACATTATTAACCTTACCTTGTCATTCCCACACGTCAGCTTTCTCCATGATCGCGTCCAGCAAGCAGCCTACACGTTAATTCCACCAGAAATGCGTTCCAAAACGCACATGTGCATTGGTCAACGTCTTTTAAAATACACGCGCGAAGAAAATCTCGACGACGAAATCTTTGACATTGTAAACCAACTTAACCATGCTATTGAACCTTCTCAGTCCAAATCATATCATTACGAACTGGCTACGCTCAACTTGAGAGCGGGCCGAAAAGCATCGGATAGTACTGCATTTGATAATGCTATCAAATACTTGAATATCGGAAGAGATCTTTTGGGCGAGGATGGCTGGAAGGAAGAATATGAACTTACGTTGAATTTGCATAATGCCCTTATTGAAGCTTTGTATTCTAACGGTAATCATGACGAGACATTGAGTTTGATCGAGTACGCTCTTGCATATGCAAAGACACCATTAGACAAGTCAAAAATGGTTGATAAACAAGTAAAGTGTTATAATGGAAAAGGTGAATTTATGACTGCCATCGATTGCGGCCTATATGCACTTGAACTGTATGGATATTCAATTCCAAAAGAGAAAGAGGAAGTCGAAAAATACTGCTGCAAGATGCGAAAAGAACTAGCGGGGCTTACTATCGATGAGATTGTAGTAAGATATCCGTTGTTTTATTATTTTTCGCTTGCTGCTCTGATTTAGATGCTAAAATGTCAATTTAATCTTAGAATCCCGGCTCTCTGCAGACGTCACTGGGTCCACTCGAACTAGCAGCAGTAGATATGTTATTAACACTAATGCCCACAGCATACTTTGAACAGCACAATATGCTTTTCCCGATCGTTGTGACCCTTGTTGTTATAACAATTCGTGTAGCCAATTTTCCTTCAAGCGCATATGTATATTGTCTGTACGGATATATGTTGATCAGGCAATTCAAAGACTATAACACTGGGTACGCATACGGCAAGTTGGCTATTCAGAGGGCGCAAGAGGTTGACAGTCCTCTTAATTGTGCAGTCTTTATGGTAAGAATATGGATATGATTAGTGCTAAGCCAGCGAATAATGAATCATTTTTGGATAACGAACCGGGATTTTTCTTTTTTCAGACATTTGCAAATCATATTCAATGTTGGATGGAGCCGCTCAGGTAGTTTATCTGTTGAACCTGTGTAAATGAATCCCGACAACCGGAAATTAACTTCTTTTTTTGCTTGACAGAAATTGTATACCGAGTTACAGCACTGCCATTCATTTTGGTTTAGCAGCATTCAATTTGGAATATACTGGTAATTTTATTCAAGTTTTTTCTATCGGCGCGCCTTGTGATGTGTTTCGTCCCAATCGCTAAATCTTTAACATCTCATCGATTGTAGTATACGGATGGTTAGTGTGAACAAGTGTAATTGCGGTCAAGTTATCAAAAGTGTGAGCTAATGCTAATGGTGATGCTTCTATTTCACAGCACGGACTATTGTTTTTTCGCTTTGTTTGCGGGAGAGTCATTAGAAAGTCTTTCACAAAAGCTTAACGTATATCATAAACAGACAACCAAATTAAGACATGGATCGTGCAGCTTATCCTTTAATATGGGCTATCAGATCATCCTTAATATAACCAGCTTGGGAGAAAATGATCCGACAAAGTTGGATGGAGAATTGTTTTGCGAAGAAGGGAATGTCCCGAGGTCACTTTTATTTTTTTTGAATCTTGTAAAGGGATTTCTTTTCTTGCTATTTGGGAGGCCAAATGAGGTAATGAAACGGGGAAAGGATACTTTTACTTTTACTTGTGTCGGACGGCGTTTTCTATATTCGGCATTTTCTCTAAGCATTACTCAACGAAATTCTCCTACAGGCTCTACGAAGTAGTAAAGCAACTGAAATGTATACTGGGATGGCTACGGGCTCATGGTCTGGTGCAGCACATCAATTCTATGCTGCGTGCGCAGTATTGAGCAAAACAAATGGCAAAATACTTGAGGAGGAGTTCAACGTTATCAGGAGCCAAATAGATCAATTTGAGTACTGGGCGAACCTCATACCATGTACATTTAAAAACAAGTACGTATTCTTGCAAGCGGAATATGCAAGGGTACAAGGCAATCATTCTGAAGCAATGGATTTATATGATGAATCTATCAATCTTTCGAAAGAATATGGTTTTATACACGAGGCTGGTCTGTTCAATGAAGCTTGTGCCAAGTTTTACTTACAAAGACGGAAAAAGCGAGTTGCTGCCGAGTATCTCCACGATGCTTACCAATGTTACTCTCAATGGGGAGCGTTTCGGAAACTGAGTCACATGAGAGAATGTTACCCAGATGTTTTCCCAACTGTTCCAAGCTCATCAACTGTATCTCTACCCGGTTATCATAACGAAAATCTTCAAACTGAAATCATTCTTCCAGCACATTCGAATACCGATTCGTCAACAAATAAATCACCAGAGAGGGAGCAAAGTATAGTCAGTAATAGCAATTATCCCTATGAGACAAGTACGTCTTTGATACCGAGTTTGACCGAGAATCATTCGTCTGCTCAACAGTCTGGATCTGGGTTGGATCTGATGACCGCAATGCGAGCTTCTTTAATCATTTCAGAGGAACTCGTTCTTGAAAATCTTTTGACAAAGTTGATAAAAATACTTGTTCAGGCAGCTGGTAAGGAAATATGGCTTGCGATCGTTGTGACGTGTTACTTTTTTATTCACATCTTGCTATTCATATTTATCAGGTGCTGAATATGCAATATTAATATTAGAAAACAATGGTACATTATGCGTTGTTGCCCGGGGTAATATAAGTTCAATTGAAGTACAGACTAAAGATGTGGTTCTGGTCGAATCCCAGCATGAATTACTTCCCGTTTCGGTTATCAACTATGTTGCACATACGAGGGAACCTGTAATTACTGATAGCACTAATTGTTTATTTAAAAAGGATCCTTATATATGTAAAAAGCAACCAAAATCTCTTTTATGTACAGCCATTCAAAATCAAAGAAATCTAGTCGGAATTCTCTATCTCGAGAACAATCTTGTTAATAATGCTTTTGCCCAAGAGAGACTCGAAATACTCAAAGTTTTGTTTTCTCAAGCTGCTATATCTATTGAAAAATCGAGGTTATATAAAGATCTAGAAACAGCCAACATAGACTTGAAGAGATCCCATGAAAAGATTGAAGAATATTCAAGAACATTAGAAATGAAAGTTGAGACAAGAACACTTGAGCTACAAACAAAAAATATACAGTTGCTGCAACAGGTAAAGGAGAGGGAACAAGCAGAGATCGAATCAAAGAAGGCTAAGGAAGTGGCAGAAGCAGCAACAGAGATGAAGAGTACATTTTTGGCCACTATGAGCCATGGTAAGAGCGTTAATTTGTTTTTATTGAAAGTCGAAGAATAAGAACATTATTGGTAATGACATTCCTTTTTATATGCAGAAATACGCACTCCATTTAATGCGGTGAGTAACCGTGTGTGTTAAATTTAACGGCATCTATTCCGCTTTGTCTAATCAATATCCAATATCCTGTAGGTGATTGGCATGACAAATCTTTTGCTCGAGACAAACTTGACCCCTATTCAGCAGGACTATGTGGAGACGATAAATGAAAGCAGTAATGAGTTGCTGACTATTATTAACGACATCCTCGGTAATACAACAGTGTTATATTACCACAAGTACATTCATATCTGTTGTATTAATTATGATTTCTACTATTTTCAGATTTCTCCAAGATTGAGAATGGCAAGCTAAATATTAAAAGAGCGTCATTTTCTCTTCGTCAGTGCATTGAGGGAGCTATGGGTGTTGTCGCCGAGAGGGCAACGACAAAAGGATTGGAGCTTGCATACTTGAATGATTCAGAAGAAGATATGGTGAGTATTATATAAGAGCTTAGTAACAATGCAACGATTGATTTACCGATAAAGTTTCCTTTTAATAGATTATCGTTGACTTGACACGATTACGCCAGATTGTGCTAAATTGTAAGTATATCCTCTTGATGCGAATGTATTTAACCGTATCAATAGGACGCTAATACTCTTTTCTTTATCAACAGTATTGAGTAATGCTGTCAAGTTAGTAAATAAAGATCATTATCATCTTGATTTCTATGTGTTATTTATATTTTATTGTCTAGTAGTCCCCAGAATCTTGCATTGCAACTATGTATCGCCGGATCAGCTGGAGAATTGTTCACCAGCCCAGTATGAATGTTTTATTAGCAAGTGACTCTGTTCGCCCTAAAAAAGCCATAGTTTGTCAATCATATACGGCGTACGCTGATCAATAAAGTATAAATAGTACATAGTATATTATCTTTATATATAACTCATATTTCCTTCTAAACAGGTTCACGTACGCCGGTCAAGTAGTTATTACAGCAAATCTGAGAAGAATAGCAAAACTTGGCGAAACAGAAGATGGCGAGGACGGTGACCACTTTAAACCGTCTCATGAGTTGTTGGTGTCAGTAGCTGACTCTGGCAAAGGAATACCCAAAGAAAAGTTCAATAGGGTAAGACGTGATGATTATAGTGTACAAAGACAAGTGTAACTGTAATTAAGATGGCAATAATCAACCCGCTCTTTTTTTATTGTATATACGTTTTACTGTTATTAGTTATTCAAAGCATTTTCTCAGGTAGAGGACTCTACAGCTCGATTTCACGCCGGGACGGGATTGGGGCTCGCTATCTCGGAGCGACTCTGCCAAATTATGGGGGGCCGCATATGGGTGGACAGCACCGTTGGAATGGGATCAACCTTCTATTTTACAATACCAACGAAAACGGTAGAATCACCCGAGACGACTAACACATTCGAGACTGCTGATCTTCAGAGCAAGAAATGCCTCATAGTATATAATAATGAAGCTGGAAGGAAGGCATTAATGCAACACATGAAAGCTTTTCGAATTTTCGCCGAGGAAATAAGTACAGCAAGAGAGCTTGAGAGTGTTATTTCTCAAAAAGAAAAAACATTCGACCTAATTATTCTCGACTGTAACCTACCCGATATGGAATTGCTGACCGCTACTTCATTGATACGAAAATTTGAACCAAACGTTAATATTTTAGCGACGGCAAATATCGGATTCAATAAGAACATCGAAGAGTTTTCAAAACTTAAAATCAAAACTTTTGTGCGGAAACCAGTGAAAAGGAACCGACTATATAATGCTATAAGGGAGCTTTATCCTTGTGTTGGCGCCTTGATAAGGTCTCCAAGAACGCCCACTAATTCATCAGAAAAAGTTTCTATAAAGCATATGAACTCCGATATAGCAAAAGACCACCCCCTGAAGATTTTAGTCGCGGAGGATAATCCGGTTAATCGGAAGGTTGCAGTGGAAATACTGAAATTGATGGGTTATGAATCTGACGTTGTTGGTGACGGAATTGAAGCAGTAAACGCCATTCAGAAGCATAAATATGACGGTAAATATAGTTATTATTTGCTTGTTTGTTTGTTTGTTTGTTTGTTTGTTTGCGTGTTTGTGTATTGTTTGCTTGCCTTTTTAGTTAATTACCTGCATCCTTGGATCACTATAGTATGCCTGATGGACGTAAATATGCCCAAGATGGATGGATTAGCAGCTACTCGAAAGATTTGCGCCACCTACGAGAAACATGAAAGGCCGCGGATTATAGCAATGACAGCGAATGGTGAGCCATCAAATGTTTGTTTATTGCAGTGTTTTCTCCAGCGCAAACTTACGTGGTCACACATATTTTCACAGCTATGCATGGCGATAAAGATGAATGTCTTAAAGCAGGTTGTGACGATTACGTAGCAAAGCCCATTCTTGTCGCAGAGCTGGTCAATGCTCTAAAAAAGTGCCAGGCACGCACGCACACTATATCTTCATCTCTTAAACGTGGAGCGACTTCTTATGACGGGAATGATGAACTGGCCGACAAAGAATTCGCAGGGGCATCTTCCGTTTCAAATCAGAATGATGCGTCAATTCACTCCGTAACAGCGGTATCACTGTTACCGAATCGCAAAAAGCCTAGGAACTTTTAACATTTATGTATATAGTTTGTTATAAATTGTTTAATTATTTGTGCAACTTGCATGATGTCTTGTTATAATACTCATTAAGAGGTCAAAGCTTTTATCGGCAGCCCATCCTTGCCTTCGAGCATTTAATTTGCTGTATTTATGTTATTATGAACTATAGTATATTCACGAGCGCTTTTATATGGTTTTTGGAATTAAGACTAATTGTACTAACTGTTAATTATAAAGTTGTAACATGTATACTTTAATATGCACACCTATGTTATAATTGAAGATCAAAGACTCGCTGTAATTGCCATGAAATTGGTACTGAATTTAGTAAACAATTTTTTTCGGTTAACGGACGAATGCGCAAGCTTGCCCGCATTCAATCGTAATGGCTTAAGCCAAACTATAACCATCACCAAGTTTGCGCTTGACAATTACGTAAAAGTCTTTCCGATCATTGGTTTCCTCATCATCTAAAACAACGCGACTTTTTTATAGAATGCAATTGCACTAGCACCTGAGTGATTTGCATGAGAGGAAAATACTCAGAGCCAAAGCCATTATCGAGTAAAGCCTATTTCTTTGGTCACTCTGATGCAAATTTAAATTCACTCATTTCAAAATAGTTTGACTTTTCGTTTTCAGAAATATTTGCTTCTTTATCCTCGGCAATGTATTTTAACTCATTTAATTTATTATAATTGTCTTCACGCCTCAGTATTTCCCTATCATTGAATTACGTCTCTGACTTTTTTCGTGTTGCAACAATGGCCTGTTGCTTGCTTTTCTAATCTGCCACGATAATCGTTCCCCATTACCATGTTACATCTGGCAAGTAAATTTTGCTTTGTTATTGGTAGTAACTTTCTGGACTTTATAGTCTTAATTAATATTCATATATTATGGAGTCAGTTAGGGCGAAGCAATAAATATTCCAAAAAAGAATTCACACGGGAAATTAAGCATTTTTCGAACTTTGAATTTAATTAATTTATGGAAGAGTAAACCCTTGAATAAATCATAAGCAGTGGATAATGTTAACATTGTAGTTTATATGAACAGAACAAGAACCAATTGTTGTCTTCATAATTGCCACTAAATCCAAACTATCTCCCTTACTCCTCATCAACCTCCCCTAACTCTACATCTAAACTTGGCAAGCTGAAATCTGATAACGGAGGTAACTGATGACTTGTAAGTAACTGATGATGGCTATTTCTTGGTTTAGGCAGATCCATAGTAGGTAAGAGCGTACTAGAATATTTACTCTCCTTTTCGAGATGTGATAACGGTTTTACATCATTATGATAAATGTCATTCCACGTGTTGTTATCAGAATTGTCCTTGTCCACCTTATCAATAAGCCAGTTAATATCACACCACCAAAGTGAATGTGCATCTGAACGCTTATCAGGATCAGCATCACAACACCGCTCGGCAAGTTTCTTGTATTCCTCTGGTGCGGAATCAGGCATCGATGGTCGTAGTCCGCCCATAATATCGCATACTAAATCTCTATCAAACTTCCTATCTCTAAAAGGTGGTTCACCAGTAGCAATCAAATACATAATGATACCAAAAGAATACACATCTGATTTCTGAGTAAATTTGCAGGTATGGAAGACTTCCGGTGCAATAAAAGGTAAAACTCCTCGAATGGTTGAATTTGACTGATGTGAATTCACTGATCGTGAGAGACCAAAATCGCATATATATGAGTATATTCCATCATGCAAAACTATGTTTCCGCCATGAAAATCGCAATGCACAATTCCCGCATCATGGATATTCCACAGATAAAATGCAATGTCCTCCAAATGTTCTAATTTCATCCCCCACGTCAATTTGTTAATATTTTGATCCAAATAAGACAAAAGACTACCATTATTAGCATATTGCATAACAATCATATACTCTTTTGTTTCTGGGTCTTGTGTGACTCCATAAAGTCGAAGGAAATCACCATGGAATAGGAATCTAAAATCACCATCATCTGTGCACTTGGAATGATTTCTGAACTAATAAATAAAAACAAATATGCAATGTCACTTTAATTAATACCAATACTACCAATTATTGCTTACCTCGGAAATAAATAATTCCGGCGTTTCATCAAAACTCTTGAACCGTTTGAGTACAACAGTTTGCGACATATTATATACTTCTGAATAATTTTTATATTTGGCAGTATGGACTGTTCCATAACCTCCAGATCCGATCTGTTTGAGTTCGTAAAAGTCGCTATACTGCATGTAATTAACATTAATGTTAAGTCGTATAAACCTGTCCAATATTGCATGTACGTCGTGGTAGAACACTAAATAATATTCCCGAGTAGATGGCTCCTGCGTGATCCCAATTATCCAAATATTCTCGGGTGTTAATATGTCGGGGTATTCCTTGGTTAGCTATTTGAGTAAACACATACAGTAGTTACAACAATAATCGGCTTTATACACACGTTAATAATACTATTTGCATTTTACACGTGAAATAATTTACCTGATGAAAATCAAATGACTGATCATCAACTATCTTTTTGAGTGTCACACGTGTCGATTCATTTGTTGTCGATTCATTTGTTGTCCATTCTGCTATATGTGTGCATCCATGGTGTAATATTGTCATCTCCTGTATGTTTGTCAACAGAGAGTATTCAATCCATTGTATATACGCATCATCCCGGTTACTCATATTCTTCCATGACTCCATAATAAATGAATCCAATGACTTTTTACCAGTAGTCCAATCAAGAGGTTGTGGTGCTTGACAACGATAACAGAATGCTTTTATATTGGGTTCTAATTTATGTGTACACGCCAGACATAATTTATATCCCCAATGTTCCTTTATTAGAAAATACTCTCCCCCTCTATATGTGAATCCGATGGTAAGCCAAACATCCGTGGTAAGAATATCTGGATGCTCATCGCATAACTAGTGGAAATGATACATAATAATATGTCAATATTTATTTAAACTATTCAATAAACATGACGCATAAGTAATTAGTTTACCTCGGCATAATATAAATCATGTGTCTCGTCT